TGAGGTGTAAGCTTGCGCACAGTAGCAGGGCACAAAATCTCCACACAAGAACTTGACTACTCCCTAGCATCCAAGCTACAGTGTTCTTGCCAGGCAATTCGCCAATCTAAAATGCATGTAGGCTTTCGAATACCGAGCTGGAAAGTTGGCAACGTCCCTCCTGCCAGCTAATTGTGCCTTGCGTTCAAATTCTTGAGCTTGGGCCCCAAGCGCCCCCGTAGTACTCACCTCCAGCGCAAGCCTGATGAGAGCTGGCGTCGGCCCAACACCGTCCATTGGTTCATCATCTGCATCTGGAATGGCCTCAGCAGGCCTGGGATTGGCCCGCTCCAATTCAGCACGCACAGCTTGGCTATGACATTCGCGAGTCGCATGGTTCACGAGCGTGCAAACCTGCAGTTTACCCTGTTGGCCAACCCTGCAATGTATGAAGGCTGAATCCTTCATAGCAGCTGGCATGCGAGATGCATTGGGTGCAATCTGCCGCTCTCCGTGCAGCTTTTGGCAAAGTTTACATCCCAGTCCCCATTGCCGTCCCTCGCCATCACCTTTCTCAACAATTAGCCAGTCGAAGCGACGCTTCCAGACAACCTGAAATGTTGAATCACACCCTAAACCTGAAATGCTGAATCTGCGCCCTAAACTCCTAAACCCTGAACCCTAAATGTTCACGCTAACAAGCCCCTGAAACGACCGGAGCTAATTGCGGCCACGGAGCCTCATGTTTAAGAAAAAACAGCGGCTGCACTGTTTAACTGCATTCCTTATCGAACCATGTGCCGCAAGACACTCTGCTTTGTGCTCCTCGTCTGTCTGGCCAGGCATGTATATGAAGCAACTGCCACCCACGCACCCATCACGAGACTAACAAAAGCTAGAAATGACCTATAGTTGGCAGAAGTGCTACATGCTGTCTGAAGAGTCTAGTCAGGAGCTGGCTCATAATCATAATATCGACTAAGCGTTGCCACGAAGCCCTCACTGAGCCCTTATGTCAGCAGCAAATCCCGGCATGTCAGCTGCAACTCACGGCATCCACACCATGTGATTCACCCTCACAAGCGGAAGCAGGCAAATGCAGGAAGTCACTAAGCCCTGAACCTT